TAAGGGATATTGGAGTCTCTGGGCGTGTGCAGAAACCACCTGATTCAAGCCAGAAAGCCCCGGCAAGCCTTGGGTTTTCAAGTTCCTGAAGCCTTGTGACCGAGCCATGGGAGCACCGTGTGGAAAAGATGAGCGGCCGCCCTACCACCCTGGGTGCCGTGGACTCCATTGGACTCTGGCAAGTGGGGGTTTCTGAAAACAAGGGGTACCTTATTTTGGGGCCTTTATAATAAGGATCCTATTATTTAGGGGACTATATTAGGGTCCCCTATTTTCGGAAACCCCCAAGTGATGCAAAACACTGTGCAGGCTATAGGCGTGCATTTGTTTCTTTTTGCACAGTCTCCATGTCGCTACCGTGACTACCAATGCCCGTCCGCACAGATCGCATTCCATTTCGCTCGAAGTACACACCAAAATGTCAAGCTACGATCGTTTGCCAAAGCTGGCTCACTCCTAAGTCGCCATTTTCCGGGAGACCGTCGTTTGTTTAGGGACGCCGACGGCTCATCCTCTCTTGAGCGAAGGTGGCTACTATCGCGTTGTTGAAAGGTTCACATCCAGAACAGGGGTCCCAAGGCCGAGGCTTTGCACAGACGGTTTTAGAATGCACTCATCTGCACCCCCTATGGCATCGTCGACATTTCTTCCGTCAGAAGCCACCGACCGTCTCAGCTCAGAGGCTCGCTGCACATCCGGCACCGGGCGTCTTGACTGGCTTGCTTTTCGGGGCTTATAGGGTACTACAGGGTTATTATAGGTGCTACAGGGTACTATAGGGTTACTATAGGGTCTAGAGCGTTTCGCTCCGTGACTTAAACAAAAAACACCTATCATGACCTTCAGGAGGCCCGACACTCTCGAAAGGTTCCGGAAGCCAAGAAGCGAAAAGCAGCAGACGCCCGCACAGAGCGTCTGGTGTTGCAGTAATTTCGACAGCGGTACTAGCACAGCTTGCTCCAGCTCTTGTTCAAAGGTCGCGTTTACAGGAGTGTCCCGAGGCTCTAGCTTTGCAAGGGCACTCTTATAGTCAACGAGCTCAGAACAAAAAGTCCGGATCTTGAATCGCTCAGAGCTTGATGTGGGTTCTGTTTACAAGCGTCCTTCCTCAAGCATTCCAAGGCTTCTATTACCATGGAGGGCCTCCGCCGCTCAGTCCGAGATTCGGCAGGGGGAGACGTCCCAGAGTGAGATGAAACTCAAGCGTGAAAGAAAGTCGTATATGCCTGGACTCGTTGAGAACACGGTCAAAACCCTCAAAATCATAAACCCAAGGCTTGGGCCCTACGATGCTGTGCCCGGCCACGTTGTTCCGGGCCACGTCGTCCCTGGCCATGCAGCACCTTGTCAGACCTGTCTCAGGGTTCCCCAAGGGAACCCTGCGTTTCGTATCACTGAAGGTTCTGCGGGGATCGCAGTATCCACCAAATGGATGCCGCTTGCTAGGTCCCCAAAGACCCAGGGTCAGCATGCTTACCATGACATCACGCCTTCCCGGTGCGAGCCAGCGTCCGTTCTTGCACTCGTGCGGTGTGTGTGGTGCGGTGTGTGTGGCTGTGTCGGTGTGGTTCAGTGTTCCGTCTGTGCTGCATGTGTGTTGTGTTTGTGTGCGTTTGTTTGTGAAATAACACGTTACCTCCATACCCCGACTTTGCCACCTGTGTGGCTCACGATCACGATGCACTTTGTGCAGTCCCTGGAAAGAGGCGCTCTGTGACTTTCAGGGTTACTTTGATCTGAAGCTGAGTGAGCAGTGCACGCTCCACTTTAGGGTAGTGCTTGTGTGTGCTATTCTGGTACGTCGTACTTTCGCATGGTAGCGGAGCTGAAAGCTCCAAGGAACTTTGGTAAGAAGACATTGGCCCTAGAGGCGAAGATGACTTTGCAGGAAAGCTTCGGCTTCCGTTGCCTGAGACTTTCAGCGGCGACCGGGAAGAATGTGCCTGGAATTGTAAAGCCTACATCTCGAGGTTCGAGACAGGTGCCGTCACTTTGCTTGAACTTGCAGAACGCAGGACAGATGAATTTCTTGATGAACATTTGCAGGTGATTTTAGACACCGGTGATGCTGATGCAGAACAAACAGCAAACCGAGTGTTTTTGTCCCGGAAGCTACATTACTTGATTTCGCTAACGTCCGGCAAAACGAAGACAGCAACGGCTTGAGACCTGATGGGGACTTGTCAAGAAGTTCTCGCTACCAGGAGCGACGAAGAGCCCGTCACTTTGATAAAGGTCTTGAACTTCAGGCTCAACCCTGCAACCTTTGAACAGGACTTTAACGTTTGGGAAACAATCAAATCAAGGTATGAACGACCGTCAGGTGTACCTGTACCTGACGGTGTCCTTGTAGCAACTTTGTTGAACAAGACAACGGGAGTTTTACAACAACATCTGAGATTGAATGTTCGACCTTAGCAACTTATGCTCAGGTTCGGGAGGCGATTCTCGAATACCCTCTTTCGCGACTTTTGATGAATCCAGTTACGCAGACTTCGGCAAACGCAGTTTTTCCAAGCCGGAGCTCAGGCTCCCATGGACATTGGTGCCTTAGCGGCAGCTTTGTGGAAAGGAGAAGGAAAAAAAACACAAAAGAAAAAGGAAAAGGTAAGGACTTTTCGAAGTCGCAAGGAAAAGGAAATCAACATTGGAACTTTACGAAAGGACAAGGAAGAGGAAAAGGAAAAGGAAGGAGTGTTTGCTGGTCGTGCGGCAAAACCGGACATTTTGCCAGCAACTGTCCCACTTACCGTGCTTCGGCTGTTGAAGGTGAGGAACAACTTTACCAGAACGACGACGAAGGTGGTTGGACTTACTTCGGTGAGTCTGACGATTGGTCTGAGTGGACCGAGTGGGCCATCAACGCCGTAAGCGAACTAACAACGACAGCAGCTGGTCGTGGGATGATTCACTTTGGTCCTGGGGTTCTTGGTCTTGGGATTCCTGGTATCCTTGGGGTTGGTCTTCGGACTTTCC